GGTTCGTACGAAGTTTCTTCTGAAATGGAGTGGTTGGTGTATTGCATAGTTCTAGAGATTTGATTTCACTCAAAACCCTCCAAATGACTCCTCCCACCATATTATGATGTTCCCCATGTTTTGGACTCAATCCGATTTCGATTGGTCCATGAAATCGGGCAATTCCGGTTCGTACGAAGTTCGTTCTGAAATGGAGTGGTTGGTGTATTGCATAGTTCTAGAGATTGGATTTATCTCAAAACCCTCCAAATGACTCCTCCCACCATATTATGATGTTCTCTATGTTTTGGACTCAATCTTATATCGATTGGTCCATGAAGTCGGACAATTCAGGTTCGTACGAAGTTCGTTCTGAAACGGAGTGGTTGGTGTATTGCATAGTTTTAGCCATTGGATTTCACTCCAAACCAACCAAAGAAACAAGGTCAATGATTAACATAATATCGGTTAAATTTCCCCTCTTGAAGGTACCCATTCTTATCTATTGCCTGATTTTGTTACTTTTGGTATGTTGTTGTGTGTTCATGCACATGCTAGGCACATTCTTTTTCTTTAGCACATCTGAGCTTTGACACCTCTTCTCTAGTTTGAAATTTATTTTTAAAAGCATTGAAGTCTTTGTCACATTTGAGATTTGTTAACCACCCTGCATAGAATGGATGATATTGGTGTGGGACTCCAGTTACCCTCAATTAGATATCAAGAGTGTATTGTCTTCATTCTAGCAAACTATTGAAAAAGAAGATGTTTTGTTAACGTTACCATCCTGCTTTGATTTTCTTAAATGGTGTCCATTTGCATGGGGAGGCTTCATCTTTAGATTATGATTTTGGGGCTATAATAATTCATTAGTACAGTATTGTGGGCGAGACATGGTCAATTAGGCTATGTTTTTTTTGTTGTTGTCTTTTTCCTAATAAAAAAAATTTAGGGTTAAGTTCTTGGCTTTCTCGCACTTTCTCGGCCTTTCGGTTAAGACCAAGTGTAGTATATGTTCGTATTAGTAGTTTCAGGTGATTGACCCAATGGCCATTAATTATTAGGCATAGAATGTGTTGCTTTTTATTTATTAGAAAAATCTTATTTTCTGCCCCTTCCTTTTAACTGCACGTATTAGTTGCAAAGTTCTTTACTTTGTATTCCCATATGGTTCTCTTTGTCACATTCAAGCATGGCTTTGTTTGTTGGAATTTGCTTGTATAAATTAGAAAATGAAATAACGGGTTTCACAATGTGTCTTTTCATTTCCTTCACAAGGGTTTTCATGGCTCAAGCTAAATAAAGTCCATTTCATAATGTTTCTAGAGTTTACAAAGATGAACAGGAGCTTGAAACCTATATAGGCTCAGATCTCTATGGTACCTGCAATCAAATAATGTAAGTCATACTTTTGTATCACAGTATGGATCTGAGGGAAATTTCCTTGAAATGAATTTCGATTATAGTTTTGGACTAAAGAAGTATGAAAGACTAGTGGAAAAATGCAAATGACCAAAATTGCTTCTTTTGATGGTTTTCTAGTACTGGTCAAACGTTTCCTGCCTAATATTTTGCAGATTAGTGATCTCTTGGACTACATGACTGTAGCTATTCATGTATGCTTGATTCGCGTGAATAAGCATTGATTCAGTGCATTATAGTTTTCATCTTTTTAAATGTGGCTTTGGCTTCCTGATATTGTCCGTATGATCCACACTTCTTCATGAATTGAATGCGAGGTCTAATCATGCATGCATGATTTTTGAAAAAAATGGAGCCAACTATCATACCTGCATCAATTAAATGTTTATCATAATGTGGATAACTGTGCTGGAGATATTACATTGGTTATGGTATGTTCTAATATGTGCACACTCTAATTACTTTACAAATTAAAATGTGTTTTGCTTTTGTTTTTATTTTATATTTTATAATTATTTAATTTATTTTTTTAAAGTAGTTACCTATGACTTATGCTTATAGTGTAAGACTCTTACTATACTGTATTTCTTATGTGATGGCCATTGTGTGATCACTGGATGGCTATTTTTTGAACAACGCATGTCTGTTTGATTCTATGAGAAGTCACATTATTAAATTTAGCTGTGTCACTAAATAAACTGAACTATTTGTTTAGGAATTGCTCGAATAAAAAACCAGAGCAGTAGTAGTATTTCATGACCAAGGTCCCCAATCTTTTGATTATAGCATACGTCTCAATCACACATGGGTTTTCTCAAGATTTCCTGACGTTAAATCCATCATGGACACAAATGGTCCCTAACTTAATGACTTGGAACTTTGTCATTAACTATATTTATATTTTCTAAAAAGCTTTCTATTCTCCTGTTGTGTTCCCAAAATTTGTCTATACAAAAAGTTGGGTTTGGATTATTAGTTCTTGTTATGCAATTCAGGGTCTAGTTAAAAGTAATTTAATAATCATTCTTTTAACATTTGTTTAAGTAGATCATTGGTGATGGTTTTCTGAATCTGAATGTTAAGATGAAACTTCAACTGATTAGTGGCACAGACATAGACAGTCTTTTTTCCTGGCTTCTTCCTTAACTCATTCATCTATATGCCGGTGGAAAAAAAATATCCCTTACAGAATATTGATTTTTAAAATTTTGGTATGTAAATCCCACAATATAAATAATAGCACATGCTGTCTCTAGTAACATATAAATTGTTAGCACGTGGTATATTATTAAGAGTCTGTAGGAGCTTTTTCTTCCGGCAGCTAAAATGGGCTGGGCTGCCGTAAAGGACAGATTGATGAAATTGTCCCCCTTGAGCCTGAGTTCGAAAATCAAGCCCCAAAATGCTTCGAAAGGGCAGTAGAGTCTTAGGAAGCATCTTGGTTAACTTCACCAACCAAAACAACAGCAACTTACGGATAAATTCTTGGCTTGGCATGAGAAGCTTATGGCATGGGAGCAAAATTGTCATGAGTTTAGCACTGAAGAGAAAACTAAGTATTCATAGGGGAAAGATGGGGTATTAAGGTTGGAGAGAAAGGATTTTGCAGAGAGGTTTGGTTGAGCATGAGGAAAAAGAAAGAAAAAGGTGGCTTGAGTGTTTTTCCGGCATCTTGACAAAGACTCTGTCAAGTGTCAGAACAGCTTGCCAAGAGGGAAAACTAAGGGAAAATGATGGGCTAAGCACGAAATTGCTGGGTTTTGGGAGTAAGAGAGGAAGCTTGCTCTCTGATGTGGTTGATGCTTGTTGGGTAGAAGAGGCCCCCTTTTATAGCCGCTGGAAGTTGACATTTTCCAAGAAACCCTAATGGTTTCTATCCAATTTGACCAAGTCTTTCCCTTCCTTTCTCCCCTCATCCCTTCAATCATCCTATTTTGGTGAACTTTCCTCTGCCCATTTGCATAAAATCAAGGATTTTGGGTGCTCAAAGCCGCTTTTTCCCGCGGCTGTTTCGGACTCCTATTTTTAGCCATATTTCTTCCTTCTTTTCTCCCCTCTTCCAAGGCTAGGTTTGATAAGGGAAAGAAATGGGTATGCATGCTGGTTCAAAGGGTGATCTGCGCTCCAATATCCCTTGGTCATTTGGAAGTTTCTTGCTTGAAAACTTGTTCCTTCCCTCCCAGCAACCAGCGTGGTCTTCCATGCTTCTTCGTGGCTTCTGTTTTCCAACAAAGTGCTGATGGTTTTGTAGGTCTTTATTTTATTTATGTGGGCCTTCTAGAACAATGGATTGGCTTATCAAATAAATGGGCCAACTTCACCAAGGTTTGGGTTGAGGTGTTGGGCTTTTTGGTTGAGTCAATAGGCTATTTTGGTTGGGATATTTTCTCTTTGTGCTCACCCACATGTTTTTGAGCTTAAGAAATGAGCTTGGGTTCCGAGGCTCCCAAGCAACCCGGAACCTCCATTTCTCGGCTCATCAATGGGTCTCATGACAACTTATTACCATCCATACCACAACTTACTCAAGCAAGCCCTAGGCATCTTGCGTGGCTTGGGCCCACTTAAGCTTGTGGCGTGTTTAGGTGCTGAATAATAATTCCTTGCTTGGCGTGGCGTGTCGCTTGGCATGGCATGTGTGCAAGCGCATATGATGAACTTCCGCGTACCCAAATCGGGTTTCTTATCAGTAAGGTATTGCATTGAGCCGAGAATTTTTTTGGGCCAAACTGTGAATTTTTTGGGCCTCAACAGAGTCTTTCTATACGTTGCAGTCTTTCTATATGTTGTTCCAAAAGAATCATAATGTTGAGCCAAGTGTAGTTTGTGCCATACTCAAAGTTTGGTGCCAAGTTTGATATTTTTTTCCCCAAACATAGGGCTTACTCATGTTGGTCGGACAGGGTTTATTTATACCAATACTGGCGTCTGATGTTGTTGTTGCTTGTCCCTTCTCAGACATTCTCTCAGTGTTTCATAGTGTGACCCATAAAATTGTTGTAATGGTGAATGATTCAATTATTAATACAATATCCACTTATAGACCAATCTTCAGTGATTTTGAAACTTGATGTATTGACCTTTAATAAGTTTAATGATTGTTATTTAACAATAGTGCAACTTCTAACTTTCATCCTTGTTAAATATTGTCACATTTTTTTTTTGTTTCACAAAATATTTTCTGATTCTGCCTTGATAAGCCTCTTATCTTCAATAAAATTGTGAGTGAAACTGCATGTATATTTGTGAAAATGTGTGTCCATTCTTTTTATGCCTTTATACAATTGCAGTTCTAGCAAGTTCTGGATTCCTTTATAATTTTTGCAATCCAACAATCTGACACCAAAAATATAGAACTTCCTTCATCTCTCCCTATATATCACTCATAAATAAATAAATAAAAACAAAGAAAAATAACTAGAAACAGGTAGTCAAGTAATTTCTCGAGTCAGCAAACCAGAAAAAGAAAAACAAATAACGGACGGCCAATGGATATATACCATTATCAGGTCCAAAACGACGGCGTCTCTTTGCTTGCCGCCTGACTAAAGCTGGTAATAGCTCTAAATAAATAGAAAATGCAAAAAATGAACAGAAAAATAGAAAAAGCAAACGGAAAAAGAAAAAAGAAACACATAAGAAATTGTCTCCCTAACCTCATCCCGTTTGGACCCAAAAACCACAAAACCAAAAGAAACCAAACCACACCGTTCTCTCTCTCTCTCTCTCTCTCTCTCTCTTTTTCTCTTTCCTCTTCTCTCTCTAACCAAACCCTAAACACGAAGACTTTCTTTTCTCTTTCTGAAATTTCAAATTCGCAATCCGATGTTCTAATCCGACACATCTCTGCGTTGATCCGGTTTACATAGGTGCGTCTTTTCCCCCTTCTTTTATCTTTCCTTGATTTTATTCAGTTTAATAATTTTTTCTTGTTTATTGTGGGGAAATTGTAGAGCTGTTTGATCTAAGTTAGGTATGCTATATTGATTTAGCGGATCTGTAGTTATTCGTACTTCTTTCATTGTTTTTTTTTTTTTGTAAATTGATTGTTCGCTTCTTTTATTATATCTGTGACTTTTTCTTTCTCCATTCTTTTTTTGTTCTAAATTCAGGAAAGGAAGAGGAAATAGAAATAGAAATTGGAATGGTGTGATACGCAGCTATTGGTTTTGGAAGCCGTTGTTTTCTAGGTTTTTTCTTGTTTTGTTTTGTTTTTATTTTTTCTCCCAAAATCTTCCAGAAATCAAACATGGGTTATTTTTCTTTATGTATGTAATATCCTGCATGCTTAAAGCATTGTGGAATTTGGGTTTTTATTTCTGAATTGTTGATGAATATTAGGTGGTTGTATGCAATTATTGTTTCATATCCTAATTCCTAAGCTTCAATTTTAAGAATAGAGTTGGAATGCTTAATCATTTCATCCATTTGTACGAGTAATACATATGCGGAACGGTTTTGTGACCTGTGGTAATGCTATGACAAGAAGCAACAGTGTTATGACAGAGAAATCTTTTCCCATGGTTAGAAGGAACATGGTGACAATGTGGTTGAGCTCTTTAATAGTCATCATTTTGGATGAATGGATTAGAATTGTTACGGAGGAATTTTAGAAACTGTTAATGGTATTGTTGGGTTTGTAAGATGTTTGGTTTTACAGTAGAGATTTATTCTTTTTGTACATGATCACTACTATTGTCTCCTTGATTGATTGATTTTTTTTGTTTTATGGCTTTATTCATGGGTGTATTCATCAAAGTTTTCTACTTAGTTCATCTTCTCTTTTGGGATTTTAAGGCATGACTATTCCATTATGGCATGTTGTGATTTTCTTAGAGTCAATAACATATTGAAATATTTACAATTGAGAAGTTGTAAAATAAAATTTAGATATATATATATATATATATATATATGAGCGGGTAATAATGGATGGTTTTCACAATGATTGATCTTGGTGGATGTTTATCATGAAATCTGTCAACTAAATATGTTGCTCAAATGATGTGGTTTTATTATATGTTCTTCATCCTTTCCTTGACTGCCTTTTTTTTATTATTGAGAAACAATATCTGGTTAATTAGTTTTTCATCCTGATGATGGGTTTTTAATTTTCTGCAGATTCAATGCCGTTTTTGGTTAATCAAGCATACTTGATGGCTATGGTTACACATATGGATAAAATGTCAGCTCCTTCATCAAGGGAGCGTGCCCAACGCCTCTATGACAAGGTATATTCTTTTCCCTCATAAAAAAATTATGCTTTTTCTTGATTACTATTTTTTAAACTGCCTATATGTTTAAACCCGTAACTACCACGTGGTTGATGCAAATGTTGAATGGAGGTTCTGTTAGATATACAGAAGGAATCTGTGTATATGCATGCTTGTGTGTGTGTGCTGTCTGTATTTTATGTGCAATCATGCTCCATAGTTTCCTGTCATTTTAGGTTCATATTTTTACTTTGCAGGTTATTGAATTGGAGAATAG